CTAAAACTCTAAAACCCTAAAACCCTAAAACCCTAAAACCCTAAAACCCTAAAACCCTAAAACCCTAAAACCCTAAAACCCTAAACCCTAAACCCTAAACCCTAAAACCCTAAAACCCTAAACCCTAAACCCGGAAGACCCTGCTGGTCACTCAACCTTCAGCTGCTCCTAAGACCGCACAAAAGACCTTGAGCTTGTAAAGTGCTCTGGAACATAAAAACCGCTAAGCTAAACCCTGTATATGGCAACTTATCTTTAAAGGCGGCCCCTCATATTTTCAAGGTACCCAAAAAGGGAACAGAATTCTGAGAACTGGCCATGTAACATTCGGGCTGAAGGGTTTGCGGGGTACAGTGCTAAGCTACACCACGACCACTCGTAAACCGTCAACCCTCAACCCTAAACCCCAAAGCCTTGAAACCCTGAGGCCCCTAGAGCTCCAAAAAAGCCCGTAAAATCCCTGAGGCCCTTGAAGCTCTAATGGTCCCTTACAACCCCAAGGCCCTTGATCCTGAAATGATACCCTTCAAAGCGCTAACAGCCCTGAGAGCCCTTGAAGAAGCCCTACTTGGAGGTTCATCTGCCGTTCTAAGTAGGGCTATAAGTCTGGCAACGATGCTTATCACCCTCTTACAAGGGTGCCTATAACCCTTCTTCTCACTACCCATGAACCTCCTCAAAGCTCTTCAAGAGTCCGACCTCCCGAAACCCCAGACCCTAGACCCTAGACCCTAGACCCTAAACCCTAAACCCTAAACCCTAAATCCTAAACCCTAAACCCTAAATCTGAATCGAAGACCGGGGCCCTGGCGACTCCGTGTTCGCGGAGACCACAGCCGTGGAGGAGGCGCGGGTGAAGGCGCGAGCCCCGACCTGCGATCGCCAAGAGGAAGCAGCCCGGTTTGGGGGGGTACTTGGGGGGTTTAGGGTTTAGGGTTTAGGGCTTTAGGGTTTAGGGTTTGGGGTTCTGGTGAACACAAGGAGCAGACCGTAAACTAGGTTAGGGTCCTGGTGTGAATGAAGGTGTACCCCCTCAGCGAATGGGTAAAGACTGGTCTTTCTGCACAAGAGTTCAGGCCTTTGAACTTGACGGTTTCAGAGTTGAAGGCTGACGCCTTCAACATTTTCAGGGCGCCTGCTGGTGCTGTGGGGACACCATGCGAGGAAGTAGGTTTGAGTTTCGTCTGTTTCCATGACCTGGTTTTGGGGCCAGGACTTGGGATTCTTGATGTTTAGGGTTTAGGGTTCAGGGAGCCTACGGACTCCACTCATTATATTCGTGCCTTATTAGTAAATGAACAGTAAAGGGGCAAATGATTGAAAGAAAGCGAAGCGCCCCCAAATTCGTTTCACTCGCTCCTAATAATAATTCTATAGGAAACCAGAGATTACAATTAATATTATTACGGGGGTTCTTTTTATATTATATTAAAAGACTGTGCAAAGAACCCCCTTTTATTATAATAATTCTGCCCGCGGGTGAACTTCATAAACTAGTTCGTTCACACACTAAATTATATTATTAATGAAGGGCCTTTTGGGGGTATTATAATAATATAGACGGCCCCAAGATTATAATATTGAGTTCATAGTACATTAGCTGGTCCAGAGATTACAATTAAATGTACGCACGTAATGAATGAACAAGACCAAGAAATTAGCAACAGAATCCCCCTTTCATAGAGAACTTACTACGAGAACACTCATTATAATTCGGCTTTCTGCGTTCGCCAATCATTTTCTACTTTCAAGATCTTTTAAACCCACCTGTAAACTGAAACGATGCAGCTGCACCTCGCATAGCAGTCCCTGCACACTGATGCTCGCACCCTTTCTTGGCACCCAGCAACCAAATAATCTTAAGGGCTTCTTTTGGGTTGGTTATGTTAGAAGGGAACCTTGAACCAAAAAAGGGGAAAGGGTGCCTCTGGGCTACCAAGCTTTGTCCCACCCCATTTTTTGGGGTTGGGGGGGGGGGGGGGGGGGGGCCTGTGCAGCGCGACGAAGCATCCTGGAAACGGGCCGTCGAGCGAGCTCTACTGGTGTGGCCCCTGGCCCTCTCCAAATGCCAGCCGATGTTAGCGGATGGGGAAATCGAATTTATAGGGTTCAGGGGGAAGAGTGGCTGGAAGAGGAAGCCAACAATTGCCCTCTACGAGCTGCGAGCGGTCCAGCTTGAGCCGAATGCAGGAAGCGCGCAGCGTACCTCTCCTATGCGGATAGACCCTAAACCCTAAACCCTAAAACCTAAACCCTAAACCCTAAACCCTACACCGCGGATCGGCATTGTCGACCACATGTTTTAGGCTCAGGGCAGGTTTAGGGGATTGGCTTCCCACTCGCACCCTGACAGGGTTCTGGGCAGACGGCTGCTTGAGGGGCTATAGGGCGGCTTAGGGTTTAGGGTTTAGGGTTTTTAGGGTTTAGGGTTTAGGGTTTAGGGTTTAGGGTTTCGGAGACTTTCCCGGCTTGATGTTACGGCGTGTGCACTTACTACGACGCCGGGCCGATAGATGGACCCGACAGCTGCCAGAACTTTAGACCCATGCCCCTACTTGGAGGTTCATGGGTAGCTAGAAGTAGGGTTATAAGTATGGTAACTGTACATAGAACCCTATTTGGGGTAATTTCGACCCAGTACCCTCTTCTAGACTCCTGACACAAGTGTGACTTCGAGCCTCCTGAAGACTCCACTAGCGGGCGTTGTAAAAACCACACTCCGAGGGTGTATGCCCCTGACGCGCACCAGCATGCAATGTTTGTTCGTCTCTCTCTGCTCAGGCATAGTAGCAGCAAGTTGCGTTATTTACGAAGCAAAGAGACCACCGACGCCAAAACTTGCATTCTTTCCCTGCAGAAATGCAGCCCTGTACCCTGATTCTGATGGTCGTGTGAAGTAGGCTTCGTAGTATACCGGCGGTTGAAGAACATCCGGACGCGAGGTGGCCACGGGCTCAGAAACACATTTGTAGCAACAAGGCAGGGACGAGGAGCCTAAGATCAACTTCTCAAGAGAGAGATAACAACTAGATGCCACGGCCACTCTCTGCCACTCTCAAATGAAGCTCGGGCACAGGCTTACTCAACTCCTACGCCAGTTCACCTGTCTAGGATCGCACTGCTAGGTACCAACCCTAGCCCTAAACCCTAGCCCTAAACCCTAAACCCCGAACCCTAAACCCCGAACCAACACCAAGGCCCCCCTCTCAGTGGAAGCCAATGGTCTGTGTACGAGGGCGGCGCAGACCCCACACCTGGGTATTAGTTTGGGGTTTAGGGTTGAGGGTTTAGGGTTTAGGGTTGAGGGTTGAGGGTTTAGGGGGCTTACTGCAAACCCTTTTGAGGGTACGTACAACCCTACTTAGAACTACCCATGAACCTCCAAGTAAGGAGTTTATGGAGTTTGGCGGGGTTTGGAGGTCTAGAGTTTATGGAGTCTAGGGGATTAGGGAGCTCCAGAACCGGCATTGTGCTGCGCTTTCAGTTGAGGGGGGGGGGGGTGGAAAGGGGTAGGGCTCTATACGCCCTATAGATCCTAAACCCCAAACCCAACTTCATATGCGGCTGGAAATTTGGGGTTTTGGGTTTGCGGTTTAGGGTTTAGGGCTTAGGGTTTAGTTCCGTGGAGCCTCTGGCAGCTGAATTGTCTCTCACCCTAAACCCTAAACCCTAAACTCTAAACCCTAAACCCTAAACCCTAAACCCTACGCTAAAAGCCCCTTCAAGGTTAGCGGTTTAGGTGAGGTGTAGATGGGCTTCGATGGGTCTAAGCTTTGGGCTGTAAGGTTTAAGTTTAGGACTTAACCAAGGCTCTTAGCTGCAGGCTTACGGTTGAAGAGTAACTTCGGAATGTTTAGTGTCGCCTAAAAAGCCTCCCGAACTCAGACCCAAACCTCGCAAAGCACGGCACAGCAAGACTGCAAAAGCCTAAGCCCCAAATCTTCGAATGCCTAATTCCCCAAAAATCCAAATGCCTGACCCTCTTCCCAAGCCCGATCACCCCTACACTCCTAAACCCTACACCCTAGGACCCTCAACCCTCAACCCTGAACCCTGAACCCTGAACCCTGAACCCTAAACCCTAAACCCTAAACCCTAACCCCTAAACTTCCTAAACCCCTAAACCCCGTACCCGCAACAAAAAAACCAAGGCACCTCACGGCCCTCCTCGCGGAGACGATCGAAGCACATCTTCTTGCACTCCATCTCCAGCCAACGGCACTCCTTGCAGGCGACAAGCCCTCTGTGAAGCGCATTGAATCATCCACTTGACCCCAAACCCTAGTTTAGGGTTTAGGGTTTCGGGTTTAGGGTTTAGGGCTACAATTAAACCCTAAACCCTAAACCCTAAACCTCTATGTCAATAGCTCTTGGGAAGCCCGGGGAGCGGCGTTTCCTGAACAAGGCAAACGGGCCCTTTAGCAGCCTCAATAAGGGAATGCGGGGCCCGTAAACCTAAACCCCCAACCGCAAACTCAGGTGGCTTTGGTGTAACTAGGGCCCGATAAATCTGAAGCTTAAATCTAGGGCTCAGGGTTTATGGGGGCTTCGGGTCCCTAATACAAAGCCCTTCATTTCGGGTCCTTATTTGCCTGTGACAGAAAGACATGTTTTGCAGGGCTCCAAAAGATTTTCCCAAAACAGGCCAAGCGCCATTGTTGGCGGGCTAGCTCTCTCTTTTTGTTGGAGAAGGGGTGGGGGAGGGTGGCTATCTTTTTTTCGTTCGCAACGTTTGCAGGGCCTTCGCTCAAGACACGTGAACCCAGGGCGTGCGAATCAGCATAACGACACCTTACTCGGCGTAGAGAAACTGGAGATTAGGCTTTGGGATTCGATAACTGCAACAACCCTAAGCCCAAAACCCTAAACCCTAAGCCCCAAACCCTAAACCCTAAACCCGAAACCCTACACCCTACACCCTAAACCCTAAACCCTAAACCCTAAGCCAAGTTTCGGGTTGCTCGTTTCTTCTACTAGGCCGAAGACTCGGACCCCAAAACCTACACATTCCAGGGAAAGCCCTTCATGCCGTCTAGAACCTCTACAATGTTCACTGCCGTTTAATAGAACTTTATTATCAAGAGAATGAAATTAACGTAAAAGCCCTAATAAATGCAAAGGGGAAAAGCATAATAAAAAACCAAATTCAATTTAAACTACCTTCTCCCTTATGAAAATTTTAATATTTCATTCTCTGGGCTTTTCCTCACAGCTTTCTTTATTTCACCTATTTTCACACATTATTTGGTCTTCATTACTCACTTCTTAGAATGTAAAAGTATGACCGAAATAAATTCTCTTCCAAATTCGCTCTTTGTTTCATTAAATTATGGGCAAAGAAGAGAATACTAATGAGCCCGTAGACTCACTTCTTGGTTGTATTTGCAATCAACACCCTGATTCTACAGCATTTTCTGTTTCTTTCATGACAAGGTAATAAAGTAGTGGATTTCCATGAATCAAAAGTGGTTTTGCTGGACAGATTTTATTATACTTGGGGGTTCATGGGTAGTTTGCACGCAGGTTTAAAGTATGGAAACTATACTTACAACCTTGTGTAAGGTACTTATAGCCCTACATGTAAACCGTAAACCCTAAACCCTAAACCCTAAACCCTAAACCCTAAACCCTAAACCCTAAACCCTAAACCCTAAACCTACCCATGAACCTTCAAGTACCATACTCCCTAACCTCACGTCTACTCCGCACACGTGCGCATGGGGGGAGGGGGGGGGTTGTTCGAAGTAAAGGTTCCTGGCACCAAAAGACCCCCCAACAAGGAACGGTTTAGGGTTTAGGGTTTAGGGTTTAGGGTTTAGGGTTTAGGGTTTAGGGTTTAGGGTTTAGGGTTTAGGGTTTAGGGTTTAGGGTTTAGGGTTTAGGGTTTAGGGTTTAGGAGACAAACCCCCTCACATGTCCCCCGACACCAGTGATCCTTGCAGTCGTTCCAGCGGCCGCCCACATGGGAGAAGTCGCCTGGGTCATCCACATGGGCTTCTTGGATGTGGATTCTCCGGGTCATACATATGGCGGTTTACCAAAAGAGGGTTTAGGGTTTTGGGGTTTAGGGGTACCCCTATAATTCGGGTACCCCTATTACCGAAAGCCCCCATATGCAGTTTCCGACGCGAGCCAAAGCGCTGTACGTGCATACTACGGCCCAAAGAAAAAAACACGCAAAGCATCCCGCGTGCCACGCATGCAGAACAGGAAGTGAGGAAGCCACAAAATGGGTAGCTCTGTGTATTAGGGTCTTTTTTGGGCCTCCGAAATCGTATGGCACCTTAAAAAAACAAGGGCCCCCAAAAAGGGACCCACAAAGGGACCCCTAAACCCTCAACCGTCAACCCTCAACCCTAAGCCCTAAACCCTAAAGTCATCTGTGCATCCGGGTGTCGTTTGCGGCCGTTCATGTACTGGTACTCAGGCATCAGCGGCACCGGCGGCTTCGAGGACCTCTGCGGCGGCTTTTTTTTTCTCGAGTTCTCGAAATTCAGGTATTTTCAGGTATTTTCAAGTACTTTCAGGAATTTTCAGGTATTTTCCAAGTGTTTTCAGGTCTTTTCAAGTATTTTCAGGTATCCTGCAAGAATCATGGGCCCATAGTCTAGAGGTTTGAGGCGTTTCGCGACAAGGGTTGAGTGGTCAAAGCTCTGTTTGCGCCAGCAACGCTGCGTTTTAAGTTTAGTCAGCTTGCTTGGAGGTTCATGGTACTTACTAACCACTTATAACTGGGCTCAAAAACCCTACTTATAGTTGGGATGACCCCTTATAAGGCCCTCTAGGGGTATTATAAGTAGGCTTATAAGTACAGTTCTAATTGGTTAGTAAGTACCATGAAGCTCCAAGTAGGGTTGAGGGTTCAGGGTTCAAAGCTTTGGCATGATCGAGCTCGCACTGTTCGGTTTAGGGTTTAGGGTTTAGGGTTTAGGGTTTAGGGTTTAGGGTTTAGGGTTTAGGGTTTAGGGTTTAGGGTTTAGGGTTTGGGGTTTGGGGTTTGGGGTTTGGGGTTTAGGGTTTAGGGTTTAGGGTTTAGGGTTTAGGGTTTAGGGTTTAGGGTTTAGGGTTAGGGTTTAGGGACATGCCGCCTTGCTGATATCTGAGACCCACCCGGACCAAGCCCAAAAAAACGATCCACAGAAAGCACATTGCGCGACTTCACGCCTGAAGGCACCTGTGCCGGAGCTGCTCTGTGGCAAGATCATGTCTTCTCGGCCGAGGATCATGATGTCAGGTCTATGCGACGTGGCTCGCAGGCTGAGGTCTGGGCAAATGAGTGAACTGGCCGTACCAATACCACACGCCTTGGCTGGGGGACTAGACCTAGACCCTCAGTATGCGGTTCCCCAATTATAAATCAAGGGTCTCGTAAACAGGCGGGTTCCTAAACCCAGAGATCCCAATAAAACCCTTACTTGTGGAGTACTTCTTGTATGATTCCAGGTGTATTCCTTAAAAAAAGAGGTGTTGATGGACCACCTCCTTGGTTCATGGTGCGGTCGTATGCCCTAAACCCTCAACCCGACGGAAATCAGAGCCGAACTGCTGGGTTTCGGGTTTAGGGTTTCGGGTTTAGGGTTTAGGGTTAGGGTTTGGGGTCGCGGGTCTGGGGTGAAGCCTGAAATAACCCCATCACGCCCTCGAACTCCCCTAGACCCAAGAGCAACCTAGGAACAAAGCAGGTGCTGTGCCCCTCTTGGCTTGAAAAAACAGGGCTTCTAAGGGATTCTCGGCCCTGAGAAAGGGAATCAGGGCCTACTCTGGGTCCTACTTACCCCAAACCCTAAACCCTAAATCCTAAACCCTGAACCCTAAACCTTAAACCCTAAAGCCTAAACAAAAATGGAATAAGGGCCTACTCTGGGTCCTAGTCCCCTGATGCCCCCCACGGATTTGGATGTGTACTCCCAACTCCGCCACGTCTGGTTCCCCGATGAGCTCTTCCTACGCGAACCAGTACAAGAATAGATCTGAGGCTGCCCCAAACCCTAGACCCTGAACCGTAAACCCTAAACCCTCCTGAAGCCGAAACCCTAAACCCTAAAGTCCTAAACCCTAAACCCTCCCTCAGCCTAAACCCAAACCCCAAACCCGAAATCCTAACCCCCTAAACCCTAAACCCTAAAACCCTGAAGGTGTATTCCTTTAAGGCTTTGAGGGGGGTCTCTTCTCAGCCCCTCCAAAGCAGCCCATCCCCCCCTCCGAATTTGCTGCACATGTAAAGCCCTACTTTGTGTGTTAAGTTTTTTCGGGGTTCAGGGTTCGGGTTTAGGGTTTAGGGTTTAGGGTTTAGGGTTTAGGGTTTAGGGTTTAGGGTTTAGGGTTTAGGGTTTAGGGTTTAGGGTTTAGGGTTTAGGGTTTAGGGTTTAGGGTTTAGGGTTTAGGATTCGGATTTAGGATTTAGGGTTTTGGGGTTTAGGGAGTCTCTGATGTCTCCAGATGTTTCACCAACAACAGCCCGGTGTTCGGCAACGTCCCTGAGTCTCAACACACTGCTTGCCACGCTGAGTGGCTGATCGGGATGTAGAAGAAGTTCACCCATGTAAGCCACAGCAGGAGCTTCCTCTCGTACCTGAAAAGCGCTGTAGGAATTCAAGGTTTGGGGCTTACACGTTTTCAGCATGTTGCGATCAACGAACTGCCGCCGTTATCTTGGAACCCTACTTGGAGGTTCATGGTACTTACTAACCACTTATAACTGTACTTATAACCCTACTCATAATACCCCTAAAGGGCCTTCTAGGGGATATCCCAATTATGAGTAGGGTTTTTTGGCCCAGTTAGAAGTGGTCATTGAGTACCATGAACCTCCAAGTAAGAAACAGCGCAGGGCACTCGGTGACCAGAATCGATGATGCTCGGGACTGGGGCTCCATGTCAAGGATCCAGGCGCGGCGGGAGTGCCACTTGGTGTAGAAGCCTCTGCCCAGAGACTCCAATTCCTTAAGCCGTAGAAGGAACCCCCTAAACCCTAAACCCTAAACCCTAAACCCTAAACCCTAAACCCTAAACCCTAAAGCCTCTAGCCTAAAGCCTAAACCCTAAACCCTAAACCCTAAAGCCTCTAGCCTAAAGCCTAAAGCCTAAAGCCTAAAGCCTAAAGCCTAAAGCCTAAAGCCTAAACCCTACCCCTCAGGAATATTCCTTAATGAAGCGGCATTGGAGTCCCTGGTTGCTAGGGCTTTTGGGATTGGGAGCCAAGAATTTTGATAGGATCTAGAAAGTGAGATTTACGTCTTAACCGTATCGAAGAGACTCGAGGTTCAACCCTGGGGTTTAGGGTTTAGGGTTTAGGGTTTAGGATTTAGGGTAAACCCCAAACCCCAAAAGCGCAAAATGTACGAGGTCCCGAGACCGAATCATCTTCGACAGCACGGCTGTGTTGGAATATGTCGGGGCCCGCATGCTGTCAGGCTGCAAGCTTGAGGTAGTGGCAAAACCGTCCTAAGCCCCCCAAGCCCTAAACCCAAAGTCCTGGTGGCCACCACTGTTCAGTCTGGATGCTCGCGGGACAGGGCTAGGGTTTAGTTTTTTCGGGTTTAGAGGGTTTAGGGTTTAAACCCTAAACCTTAAACCCTAAACCCTAAACCCTAAAGCTTTAGGGTTTAGGGTAGCGCCCCAGACTCCGCGACAAGTCCGCGATCCTGCAGAGCGAAGCCCCAACCTCATGCCTAAAGCCCGCCACCTACCAGCGCGAATCCCTACATGCCGGTCCAAAACTGTACCAGGATGGGGTATCAGGCCTTCTAATCCCCATAATGAACCCTACAAAGGGCCTTTTAAGGGATAATAGGGTATAACAGCCCACCCTGGTACACACCTTACACCCCGGCACCCCAAGTAGCTATATGTAGGGTTATAGAAGTCAAAACTTCTATGCTGGAGCCTTATTCAGGTGAGTCGGAGACCTACTGAGACCGCCTGTGACGTCCACCCAGCGCCAGGCCTTTTGTGCAAACCTGGGTCTGCAAAAGGCTTTCCCCAAGCAGTTTAAGTGTAGGGGCTCTGAATTTGATTTAGGGTTTTTGGTTTAGGATGAATTACTACGTTGGCGCTTCACCCTCTGCAAATCTTCCGAAATCTGACACTGTCCCTTTCAAAAGCCTGAAGGGCCGACCCAGATTTAGCGAAGTGATAACTAGCATGCGCGTCCTGGGATGATTGTGCACGTCGTCTCCCCTCTCCCTTGCAGACCAGAACCCTAAACCCTAAACCCTAAACCCTAAACCCTAAACCCTAAACCCTAAACCCTAAACCCTAAACCCTAAACCCTAAACCCTAAACCCTAAACCCTACATCTGAATCCTAAACCGGGGCCCTGGCGACTCCGTGTTCGCGGAGACCACAGCCGTGGAGGAGGCGCGGGTGAAGGCGCGAGCCCCGACCTGCGATCGCCAAAGCAGGGTTTGGGAGCTTGGGGTCTAGGATTGGGGGGGGGGGGGGGTAGGGTTTGAGGGTTTTGAGGGTTGAGGGTTGAGGGTGAGGGTTTAGGGTTTAGGGTTTAGGGTTTAGGGTTTAGGGTTTAGGGTTTAGGGTTTAGGGTTTAGGGTTTAGGGTTTAGGGTTTAGGGTTTAGGGTTTAGGGTTTAGGGTTTAGGGTTTAGGGTTTAGAGTTTTGCGTTTTGGGTTTAGGGTTTACTGTTTATAGGGTTTAGGGTTTTAAGGTTAAGTCTGCAAGCTCTTGGGGTTCCTGGGGTTCAGGGGCCCGAAACAAGGACACGGTCGAGTTGAAGGCGCTTGATGGGGCCTTAAGCTGTCAAACTGAAGGGTTTAGGGTTTAGGGTTTATAGGGTTTATAGAGTTTAGGGTTTAGGGTTTAGGGTTTGGGGTTTAGGGTTTAGGGTTTAGGGTCTCTGTTGTTGACATGTATAAGGCCTGGGGCCAATACTTGGGGTTCTGGATCTGCCACCATAGAAAACCCTAAGCCCTAAACAAACCCTAAACCCTGAACCCTGAACCCTAAACCCTAAACCCTAAACCCGAAGACCCAGGGGCGGTAAGTGCGCATGGCCAGAGCAGCTTGTGTGCACCGTAAACACACCACCATCCAAGCCCAGATGTCCGTAGCCTATAGGGTCTAGGGTTCAGGGTTTCTTTGTCATAGTTGGGTACCATTTTACACTTTTAAGGGTACTTAAACCCAATAAGGAATAACAAATGAAATTTTAAATATTATCCAAACATGAACTAGATTTAAGTTGGCCCTGACCTTTCCGAAAAGAACATATCCCAAGGTCCCAAGGTCCCAAGCTCCTAAACCCTAAACCCTAAACCCTAAACCCCAACGTCTGCGGGCCTGCGCGGCGCGACGGAGCATGCTGGAAACGGGCCGTCGAGCGAGCTCTACAATATGACCTTTTGCCCCCTCGAAATGCCTGCGCAAGATCCGGACCGGGAGTGATCTTTATTGGAGGGAGACGTGGAGTCATAGATCCCACGGCAGGTTAGGGTTCATATGCAAGGTTTGTAGGGTTGAAGACAGGGCGGATGGGATAGACTAGACCCCAATCGCACTTTCAGGGCTCTTGAAAGAGAGTCAGGGTTTTGGAGTCTAGGGTTTGGTGATTTAGGGTTTGGAAGGCTTGTGTGCCCGATGCCGGACAAGAGCTGGAACAAAAAATGCGGTCTTCCGCACCCTGCTGTGCCAGATGCGGCCCTAAACCCTAAACCATGACCCCTAAACCCTAAACCCTAAACAACTAAACCCTAAACCCTAAACCCTAAATGACCCTAGACCCCATGGGCTTCGTGCCCTCCACTTCCCCGAGGTAGGAATCGCTGCTGCTCTTGGCGGGCCGGTCTCAAGGGGCTGAGAGGTAGGGTCGTCCTCACTTCCAGGGGTTTAGGGTTTAGGGTTTAGGGTTTAGGGTTTAGGGTTTAGGGTTTAGGGTTTAGGGTTTAGGGTTTAGGGTTTAGGGTTTAGGGTACCTTCTGCAGCAGGATTTCTCGCACGAAGCTAGAACTCTCTGCGGTTACACTACGGAGACTTCGATGAAACTCTAAACCCCAAATCCACTAACCCCCTAAGTGTAAGCTCTGCTTTTGGATCCGCCGTGGCACCCTCACGAAGTCGTCGTTGGCTGAATTCCTTGTGATCCAGTTTTAAAGAGGGGCTTCCGGGCGGCGTGCGGCCCAAAACTGAAAACGTCCTGCGTTTGGGGTCTAGGGTTTAGGGTTTAGGGTTTAGGGCTCTCCTGATCTGAGTCCATGTAGGGTTAGTCTAAACCCTAAACCCTAAAAATCCTGAAAACTCAGAGGCTTAATTATAGCTGAGGGTTTAGCCCGGGCATATAGTGGTGTGCTGAGTGCCTAGGTGCCCCCCAGTAACCTAGAAACTAAAGGGTACTTGCTTCCTTTCACGGGGTTTGTGAGCTTTAGGCTTAGGGTTTAGGGTTTAGGGTTTAGGGTTTAGGGTTTCGGGGTCGCTCAGAACAGGGAAGAAGGCTACAACTGGAGTCCTATCAACCTATCAGGCTAGGTCACCACTTTTGGCGATTGATGAGTTCCCAGACAAGCAGTAGGAAACAACAAAAACACCTCGTAAAACGTTCAACCCCGAATTCTAAAACTCACATGGTACACCGTTCATCACGCGCCCCAGAAATCATCGCAAACTCTGAATTTAAACACCGAGCACCGAGCTGTAATCAAGACCTAAACCTCTGAACCTTACCTGGTTATGGGCATCATAAACAAACAAAGCGCATATACGTACATATCACATACATATAAAAATAGAAATAATTCAGAAATACTTATAAATCAATCAATCAACCAATCAATCTATCTATCTATCTACACAACATATGTATATACACACACATATATATATATGTATAGATATAGAAACTCACGAATTCGTGGGCAATTTCCTCCCGAAAGCCCGAGTCCTAACAGTGCCGCTAGTACTATGTACAGGCTTCATGCGCTCAGGGCTCCAGCTCTCTTGGCAAGTACCTCCAGTTTGGGTCAGGCTTTGGGGTTCAGGGTTTAGGGTTTAGGGTTTAGGGTTTAGGGTTTAGGATTTAGGGTTTAGGGCATGTAAGTAGGGTTCAGGGCTTAGGGTGCGGGGTCGAGGGACTGCCAGGCGTGGGCTTGCTGCTTGCTGGTCGGAGCTTGTCTAGTCTAGTCGATCCCAGCGTAGGCTTTTGTTCAGGGAGTCCATACCGGGGTTCCGAAAATAGGGGTACCCTTTTGGGGGCTCCCTTTAAGGGGATTCTTCTCTATTTGGGGTACAAAAGGGCTACCCCTATTTCGGAAACCCGCATAATAAAAGGGCTACCCCTATTTTCGGAAACCCCCATAGCGTCTGGGGCTATTTTTGGTGCTCCTGAACCCTAGAGCCTAAACCATGTCTCGTGCAGTAGTCGACCATTCCGGGTCTGCGCCCACACAACAACAACAAGAGCAAACGGAGTACGAGTAACCTACGATCATTGACATGAGGCGTCCACAAAGCCAACGATATAAACACTTCATTCAGCAAAGCATAACATGACGGTCGCGCACGCATACATGTCATACAGATGGGCAAGACACATCACACCGGGCCTGCTTGAGTTTCTGACTCTTCGCACTACATCGTGTGTCCGTGGTGTTTGCTATCCAGCAGAGTCATACTTCAGCTTGACATTGTGGCTGGTACCCTATCCGGGCTGCAGCCCTGCATCCACGCGCGTTTAGGGTTTAGGGTCTAGGGTCCCCCTAAACCCTAAACCCTAAACTCTAAACCCTAAACCCTGAACCCTAAACCCTGAACCCTAAAACCCTTAGATACCTGGTATGTAACAGGACCAAGCCGTAGCTGAGCGCTGGGCCAAAGGGTGCGCTCACTTCCGCGTCTTGGAAAAGGTTTGCCCCGACAGCTTCTGCACCTCGGGGCTCCCAGAGACTTTTGGTGGCCTAGAAGGTTTGGGTTTAGTGTTTAGGGTTTAGGGTTTAGGGTTTAGGGTTTGGGGTTTAGGGTTCCTAGGTTTCTCCCGGATCTGATAACACTAAAAGACACTGTACGGTTTAGTGTTCTCTTGTCTAATGTCCAGACAACATGGCCTCGGAGAGTGTTTGCATAAGATATCAAGTGCTTCCATAGCTCAGTTGGTTAGAGCGTGCGGCTGTTAACCTCAAGGTCGGGAGTTCGAGCCTCCCTGGGAGCGATGTTTCCATTGCCAGTCAAAAGCATAAAGCAAAGAGATAGAGAAGCAAAAAACAATAAAGAAGCCAAGAAAAGATCGAAACCAAGAAAAAGACAGAAACAAAAGGGAAAAACTGTTTTTCTGCTCGGTAAAAACTTGTGTTTACTCGCCAGCATCCAAAAAGTTAAGAAGCACAAAGCAAGATTAAAATTTCGTGAGCACTTATCCACCAACACAAACTCCGCCGCCGGGAATTGAGCCCGGGTCTTCCGCGTGACCGGCAGAAATACTAACCACTATACTACAGCGGATCTGTTTAAAGTGCTGACTTGACTAAACATTTCAGCTACGAGCCAAGGACACAAGCTGTTCCCTGGCTCCCTCAGGTGAGGGAGCCAACCCACTGGCAAACATGGGGGGCATGCAACAACTTCTTTAAACGCCAAAAATCCCACTACATCAAACAGAAGTGATACTTCAGGAGAGATTTGCAGGAATCTGATTTCAGAGAGGCGATAGCTCAGTTGGGAGAGCGTCAGACTGAAGATCTGAAGGTCCCCGGCTCGATCCCGGGTCTCGGCATTCTTTGAACTGTGGAATTCACTGGGCCCAAACCCAAACCAAGCTCAACTGTGAATTCACTGGCCCCAAACCAAGCTTTCAACTGTCGAAGTCACTGGCCACAAACTCACAACAAACCCGAAAAAAACTTGCAACTGAACCAGTTGCTGGAGGTGAGTAGCCTTACGTGAGCTCAGGGAGTCAAACAATTCAAGGCCAAAGGTGCAAAGAGTACCTCTTATACACTGCATCATTTCAGGGAGGAGCAGTTGCTAACACCTCCACCGAAAGAAAGCCAGCATAGAGGAGCTCGCAATCTGAAGCAAGCTCCAAAAAAACAGAAGCCAATGGGCCCACCTTTCCATAAACGCCACCCTTTGCACGTTCCAAGTCCGCCATGGTTTGCTTTCTGAGTCTGATCATCCTGGTATTGCAGCTAAGCCCTATAAGCCCTGATTCGTAAGCCCTAAGCCCTAAGCCCTAAGCCCTAAACCCTAAACCCCAAACCCTAAGCCCTAAGCCCTAAGCCCTAAGCCCTAAGCCCTAAGCCCTAAGCCCTAAGCCCTAAGCCCTAAGCCCTAAGCCCTAAGCCCTAAGCCCTAAACCCCAAGCACCAAGCTCCTACCCGTCCCTCACTCGAAAGGCGGTGCCAAGAGTTCCAGGCATCGCCCTTTCGAGTCCTAGGGGCATACTGGCATGAGTTGTCTGGTGCCGGGTGGCGATTTAGGGTTTAGGGTTTAGGGTTTAGGGTTTAGGGTTCAGGGATCAGGGTGTAGGGTGTGAAGTGAACAGAGCTGGTGCGATGACGTTTTCGGAAATTGGCGGGGGGGGGGGGGGGGGGGGGGGGGGGGGGGGGGGCAGCCCAGCCAGAATCTAACCGGAGGGGGCAATGACGTATCGGAGCCCCCTGAGAAGGCAGGAGGGATAGCGCCTTAGGCTCTTCCCACTCAGTTGACAGTCGCTCCTCACTCACTCACCCCTAAACCCCAAGCCCTCAACCCTAAACTCAGAAATACCAGGCTGGACCCCGAGAAGGGGCACCTGATCCTACCACACGAAGTAACCCCCTACATTTCTGAATCCACCACCCCCCCCCCCCCAAAAGCTTCCCTTCGATTCGAAGGGCCCTCCTTTAGTTCCCCGTTAACAAGGAACCCAAACAAACTTCAAAGGGTTTAGGGTTTAGGGTTTAGGCTTTTCAACCCTAAAACTTGCTGTTGGCACTCCCCGGCCAGAGAAGGTCTGAGGCGCCAACTCGCATCAAATCCTTCCTCAGCTTCGATGCTTCGTCATGCGCTGCCTGGGGACGAGGTTTGGGGTTTCTGGGGTTTTGGGGCTTAGGGCTTGGGGTTTAGGGTTCAGTTGGTTTAGGGTTTTGGGTTCAGGGGTTAGGGTTCTGTCCGTGGTGTGGTGAAGGCAAAAGAGCCTACAATTAGAGAACTGTTGCCTGTTGGTTCGCCAATCAAACTGTCATCGTACGCCCTGAAGTGTGGAACAAGGATGCAGCCTGAGAACTTCAGATTCAGAATCGGCCCACTGGCAGAAGTAAAGCCACCCAATGTAAACCTAATGTAAACCCAGTGTAAACCCACCGTAGTCACAGGCACCACTTGCAACTCCACGT